TATGTATATATATAAAGCTACCCTTGCTATATTGCTACCACCCTTGCTGCTGATTTTTAAAAAATGTTTACTTATTTGAAAGGCAGAGTGTAGGGGAGAGGTAGAAGGAGGCAGGAAGGGCATGAAAGAGAAAATCTTCCACCTGCTGGTTTATTTCCCAAATGATCCCGATGTCTGGAGCTGGGCCAAGTTGAAGCCAGGAGCCTGGAGCTCCATCCAGGCCTCTCACTTGGGTAGCAGAGGTCCAGGCACTAAGGCCACCCTCTGCTGTTTTCCCAGGTAAAACAGGGAGCTGGATTGGCTGCAGCGCAGCTAGGACTGGAACGGGTGCTCTGATAAGGGATGATCCTAATGGCTGCTTAACATGCTGTGCCACAACACCAGTAATGTGTTTCTGGTTTAAATGAATGTTTTAGACCTCTGATAAGGGTTCAGTCAATGCTTATGGAACCAAAGTGAGAAGAGTTGGGGTTTCAGCTTAAGTGGTAAGAAGCCTGCCAATTCTCAGTGGAAAAGCATTGTTCTGGAAGGCAGACTTGAATCTCTATCCTAGCCAGCCCCTGACCTCAGACAGGTTCCCGTGTTTCTGGAATTGTTTCTTCATCTGTAAAATGGGATCCAGTTCTAAAGTGTGCTCAGACTCCTCCACCTCTAGCTCTGTGACCCGCCTCGCAGCACTTAGTCTATGAAAGGAGGAAGTAATATCAGCTCTAGGGATAGACCGTTAGTCAAGTGCTTAAGATGTCTGTGTCCCAAATCTGAGTGTCGGGGTTCAACACACAGCCTTGACTCCTGGCTGTATTGGGGTTCCTGCCACCCATGGGGGAGACAAGCCTGAGCTCCCAGCAACCAGCTTTAGCCCAGCCTCGTCCTGGTTGTTGCACACAGTAGTGGAGCAACACAGCGGCGAGAGCTTGCTCTCAAAACAAATCAAGTAAGAAACCAGCAATAACTGTTCTTGCCAAGGGTTTGAAAGAGCTCACATCGACTGATTCACAGAAAACAGCCCTGCCTGTTGGCTACTCTGGTTCCCAGCTCCACAGCTCTGGTCCTGGGTTACTGCACATGTGGTAGAGCCAGAACACAGCACAGCCAAGAACCAGGAGCAGAGACTTGCAGAGGGCTAGGCAACTCTCTTCAAACACTCGGAAAGACTGGCAGGAAGCAAAGAAAAAGTTCCCCTTAATGCTTCTGCTGAGAATTTAACTCATTTAAGTGGGGGGGGGGGGGCTGTGCTACACATCTCAAATCATTTCAACTGTTTGTGAGCTATGTGTGTTGGGAATGGTATGTCCCCTTGTCCCTGGAGGTATTTAACTAGCAAAAGAAAGTCGGCCTCGAGTCTTTTCTAATTCAGTCTCTGTGTAGGAATCTCTAGGGCAGTGGTGGGCAGCTGCGGGGCAAAGTACAAAATTCAGCACATCTAAAACAAAAACCCAGCACACCTGTAGCGGGCTCACTTTGCAGCAGACAGCACTGTGTGGCCCGTGAAGGGTGTTATCAACAGCCAAGTGGCCTCGGCAGGAGAAAGGTTGCCCGCCGCAGCAGGTCCTCCTAGAGACATGGACGTTAGTTTTGTGGGAGGCTCTGAACAGTCCTGGTCTAATGGTTCATGTGTAACATGAGTGTTTGCTCTGGTTTACAGTTTCCTCATTTGGCCGTTGGATTTTAAGCAAACGTGTCCACACAAACGAGCTGTCTGCAGGCCTGACACCTTCCTCCCACGCTGCCCATCTCGGTTTGCTCACCGCACTCGTCGTAGCAACGTGTCCTTCTGTGTGATGAAATCGGGTCAAGTGTCAGTATACTATTTAAAAATAAAATGTGAAGGATGTGTTTTAGTGCTAATTTAATACTTCTGGGTTCCTTAAAGATCATTATTTTCTTAGCTCTTGACATAATTAAGATTTTGGTTCCATTTTATTCATGACACCTAGATTCTTTTTCATGTTTTAAAAAAATTTTTAAAGATTTATTTATTTTTATTGGAAAGGGAAGTTTACAGAGATAAGACAGAAGGATCTTTCATCTATTGGTTCTCTTCCCAAGTGGCCACAATGGCCAGAGCTGAGCTGATCTGAAGTCAGGAGTCAGGAGCTTCTTCTTGGTCTCCCAAGAGGGTGCAGAGTCACACGGCTTTGGCCCATCCTCTATTGCTTTCCCAGGCCACAAGTAGGGAGCTGGATGGGAAGTGGAACATTTGGGACACAAATTCTACCCCATGTGGGATCCTGACACTTCCCAGGTGAGGATTATCCACTGGGCCATCACACTGGGCCCCTTTCTCATGCTTATGAAAGTGTATCCCCTAATCACCTCTTGCCTGCTTCAGCAATACAATAAACGGAAACAGGAAAATTAAGGACTCCGTTGAAGTTAGTTCTTACAGACATCAAAATGTAACACCCATTTTAAAGATTTGTTTTATTTGATATGCAACTCAGAAGGAATGAGGTGGGAGAAAGAGGATCTTCCATCTGTTGGCTTACCCCCTACTCTGTGCCTGAGTTAGGAACCAGGAAGCCATCTGATTCTCTCATAAAGGAGACAGATGACTATATGCTTGGGCCATCTTCTACCACTTTTCCAGGCACATTAACAAAAGCTGGATCTCAAGTAGAGCGACTGGGACTTGAACCAGTCCTTTTATGGGATGCTGTTGGTGCAGTGGACACCAGCTTCCTGATGCCATGTTTATTGGCAGTCTTATGAGACCAGGGCATTTCCTGAGCAGTCTGAATCATTCTGTGGCTTGAGGATCTGGTCATGTGCAGAGTGGGGAGGGGTCACCTTGGGATTAGAAAATTAGTTTTCTGACTCTGAGATCATTTCCATTTCCATGTTGTTGGGTCCCTCATGTGTAAAGGGTGGGGAAACCTTCAAAGATCTTCTCCAGTGCTCTGTCTGTGGCTATATGTGAAATGATGAAAGTGACAGCAACCTTCTCCAGTTCTTGGGTCATGTCCTGGTACCTGGACAATATTCGAAGCGCAGCAAGCCAACGTGGCTGATGTGAAGAGAGCCCCATGGGGAGCCACGAGACATGCTCGCTCTGTGCACCATCCAGGGCCGCTCGTGGCGCACTTACTTCACCAGGACATTTCAAGCTGTAGTTCTGAAAAGTAGGACTCCGTTTTACTGAGATTGGGGCCGGTGGAACATAACTGTTTGCATTTATGATTGAGCTTACTGCTCCATCAAGCTTAGTGACTGGTCAGGGCAGAAATACAACGAAACATGGAATCCAATTATTATGAGAATGACAAATTGGCACCCAAGCATGACACAGGTGACTCCTGTCTCATTCTCAGCCTTCTCCTCTTTGCCCCAGTGGTGGGCACACAATGACTGTTGGTTCCTGGAAGAGATCCCCCCAACGGGGCCAGAGGATCTGGTCCTTGGGTCGTGGGCTTCTCTCTTCCAACATTGCCACTCACAAGGCCCTGAAATGCAACTAAGGCTGAAATGTTTATAGGTTTTTTGTTAACACTGCATAAAGTATGAGAAAGAATTTTGTTAAAAAAAAAAAAAAAAACACCACTTTTTTAAAATAAGGAGTTAGCTTGCATGAGAGCTGGGGCTGGGGGCAGAACTGACTATGCAGCTGCAAGAACAAACTTTGTCCTGCATCAACTGGCACACACAAGAGCCAGGCCCGAGGACCTCCCAGGCAAGGTTTCTTAGGGGGTTCCCACACGGGATGGCTGCTTTCAAGCTCCGATGTGAGGGCAATTACATGAACCTGGCGCACATGTTGCAGGACTGGTCCACCTTGGTTGCCGACTTCCATTCAAACACAGAGTGTAGCCAGATGAACACGAAAGACAGAGAGCTCACCTATGCCAACACAAGACTTCGAGTACCTCATCAGAAGCTGGAAAGCAGGACGGACTGAACAACACTCCTGGTCAGGCTTTGCAGCAAGCACCCAGGTCTGTGCTACATTGAGGTAGACCAGAACCAACAGGCCTTAGGAAGAATTTCTCATCTCTGGTGTAACGAAGGTGACAGCTTCTCAGAACAATCAAGACCACTCAGTTAACACCCTCAGAACATTCTTCCCCACGCTGGGGTCTCCAAGGCGACATCTCTGACCCTGAGCACTGATGTAGTTTTACAGCAAGGAGCAGCGTTTCCTTCTGTCTCTCTACTGCCTGGACACAGGAGACAAGATGCACACCCACATTTCCCCCAACGCCAGTCCTCTCCACCCTACTCAAAGGACTGCATGGGTCTGCAACTCCTTATTCATGTAATCAATATTAACATTATTTTACAAACTGTAAAAAAAAAAAAAAAAGAGCCCAGGACTGGTACAGAGATGCAGCACATGCATTGTCTGCCTTTGGCACTAGATCCTGTATGGAAACCGGTTTGTGTCCTGGCTGCTCCACTCTGATAGATCTCTGTGCCTGGGAAAGCAGAAGAGTACTTGGGCCCTGCACCCATGTTGGGAGAACTGGAAGAAGCGCCTGGCTCCCAGCTCTAGATGCATTTGGCTCTGGCAGTTGTGGCCATTTGGGGAGTGAATCAGTGGATGGCAGATTCTCTCTGTAACTCTGCCTTTCAAATATTCAAAAATTCTAAAAAGAGGCATTGCAGTATGGTAATTTAAGCTGCCATTTGCAGCAACCTGTATGAGCACTGATTCGAGCCCCAACTACTCCACTGCCTATAACTCATCTCCCTGCTGTTGTAGCTGCGAAAGCAGCAGAGGGCAGCCTGAGTACTTGGGCCCCTTCACCCATGTGAGACCTGGATGGAATGTCAGACTTCCGGCTCTGGCCGGGATCAACCCTGGTCTTTGTAGCCATCTGAGGAGTGAACCTGCAGAGGGACCACCTCGCCGTCTCTCCCTCTGTAACTCTTTCAAACACAGACAAGAAGTCCAACATACACCACTAGGCACAGAGAGGCCACGTCTCCATCAACGCCTACTGCGTACTCTCACACTGCAGTTTTGGCCCCTGGACGGAACAAGCACACTGACTCAGCCACACTTTCTTCTGTCACTGACTTTTATTTTTTACAAATTATGCCATGATAAAACATGACAAAAATTACTCATGTGGAACATTTGCCTTTAACATGTTATAAGTTAATCAAGTGTATACCATAATAGAGTTTGTGGAATACAGAATTCTCATGATTTCAGTATTAATGCAACTGGAAGCTGAGAATAGACAGAAGTTTACAAAACGGCATTACAAAAAGACTGGGCATGGCAGTAAAAACCTCGGCGCAGGGCTGTGTGCTCGGGAAACCACCTCACTGCCATAGGTCTTCGGTGCGGCCAAACTTAAAAACCAGCCCTCTGCGAATAAAACAAAGAAATATCACATGAATGATATAAGAAATATCACATCACTTGGGAGAAAGCGCAAGTGAGAATGGGGAAAAGCTCCAAATAATTAGAAGTGGGCATTGTTGTGCAGTGGGTTAAACCACTCCTCAGGATACCCCTTGTCCCAAATTTAAGTTGTAGTTTGAGTACTGGCCACTCCCTGCTCGTTCCCTGGACGCAGCAGATGGCGCCGCAGGTCCTCGACTCCCTGCCACCTACACGGGAGACCCACATAGTTCCAGGCTCTTGGCTTTGCCCTGGTGCAGCCCAGCTGTTGTGGCCATTTGGAGAATGACCCAAAGGCCTTTAACATCAATTAGACTTTAATTAAAAAAAATTTATTTATTTTTATTGGAAAGATGAAAGGAGGAGGAGAGACAGAGAGGAAGATTTTCCGTCCGATGATTCACTCCCCAAGTGACTACAACGGCCAGTGCTGCACCGATCCAAAGCCAGGAGCCAGGAACTTCTTTTGGGTCTCCCATGTGGGTGCAGGGTCCCAAGGCTTTGGGCCGTCCTCAACTGCTTTCCCAGGCCACAAGCAGGGAGCTGGATGGGAAGTGGAGCTGCCGGGATTAGAACCGGCGCCCATATGGGATCCCGACACGTTCATGATGAGGACCTCAACCGCTATGCTATCACGCCGGGCCCTCAATCAGACTTTTGATGAGCTATATGAAACAGTCTGACAGGCAGTATTTCGAAACAGAAGCTGGTCATTCAAAGGTAGTGAATTCTTCCATCCATCTTCCTGGATCGAGTGCCTTCAAACAGTGAAGCCATGTTCAGCACAGAGCTACTGTATGTCTGATTAGATTACATTCATTCACAAATGGTTTTTGACTGGGCTCGCCTAGCCCTAAGTGCTAGGGCTATGCAGACATAAGACAGTCCTTGGACGGCTCACGTGCCTGGGAATGTGGTGTGGGATGAGGGAGAAGGGGAGAGAGGCATATTCACGACGCCAGCGAAGGAGCCCAGAAACACAGGCGTCAGTGCCTGGACCAGGCAGAAAAGGAGTTCCTGGGCTGCGGACTATTCCAGATGGGATTTGACGGATCAGCTGGGGTTGCGCTGGGAGGCTGGGTGGAACCTGAGCTGGAGGGAGGCTGAGGCAGGTGTTTCAGGGAGAGGAAGCCGGACAGCAGACAGGCAGAAGAGCCATGGAGGACCAGGGGGGCTGTCGTGCAGGGAGTCGCTGGCTGAGCTCCAGGAGCTGTTTGTGGTAGGTGGTGGACTGTCTGGCTGTCTTTAGTGTTTTAACTTAAAGGCACGTTAAAGGGGCAGTTACAGGTGTGCAAAGAGGCACAGGTGAGAGACATAACACGGAGAGTCCTGCACAGCAAGGTTACAGCACTGAGACAAGCAGGACGGGGGAGGTAAACAGTTGTGCTTTGGAAGTCAAGGGCTGGGTGGCATGGATGTGTGGAGAGGGCAGGCACCGGGCAGCCTGAGTGCACCGTGAGGGGAGGCTGGTGCTCAGTCCCAGTAGTGGATGAAGGAAACGGGCTGCACAGACAGCAACAACAGCTCAGCTCCAGGTGACAGTGGGGAGTGGAGCCCAGGGGGCCAGATCTTCCAGTCAGTTTTCCCAGGGAAAGCCAAAATTCCAGGAGCCTTGACCTTGAAAGGGAAAGGAACTAGCAACACCACGGGCAGAGCCTCAGGGCTCATCACTCCATCTGAACTGTGCTCTGTGGGCGCAGCTAAATCCTCTAACGTCTCCGTGCCTGTTTTTTTCCACTCACAGTGGGCTCACAAGGGACCACGTTCGGAGAGTTGGGAAGGTGGTGAAGAGGACAGGAAAGTGCTGGGCCTGGTGCCGGGAGCAAAGGGACTGCCACACACTCGGACACACACTCAGACACACACTCAGACACACACTCGGACACACACTCGCTGGGGCCCGTGGCTTCCCGGGTGGCTTTTCAAGTCTCTGGGGTTTGATTGTTTCTTGCAGCTATGATCGAAGGAGGCGTGTGCCTTGTCAGACCGCCTACATAGCTCCATTTTCTACAACTGCCGAAATGCCTGCTGGTGAGACGGCACAGGCGTGGCCCCCACCTGACTGCCACTCAAGATGGCGCTCCCCAGTCCGGAGGGCTTCAAGTAGCCACAGGCATTGGTTGTTTGTGGAGGCAGGTGACATTTGTGAAGTTCTGTCACACCTGGCAGTGTCTTAGCCTTTTCTGGACTGGGGACTCAAAAAACATCCTCCAAGGACAGAGACGAGGCCTTTCCAGAAACCGGCAGGGACACCACGCTCCTGAGATGCACGCGTGGGAGGATTCCCCCTCAGGAGAGGAACTTGCACCCTCGGGAGGCGGAAGACAGGGAAACCTGGCTCCGTCAGCAGGGGCGAGGCCAGGTCCTAGGGTCCCCAGGGAGAAGGAGACTCCGGAAGCTGACCCATCGGTCTTTTCATTAGTAACTGCATAAGAATAAATCATGTGAGGGCTCTTCCTTCCCAGCTCAAATCGCCCTCACCAACGCTAGTCACACGAAGGACAGAAGAGCTCAAGATGTACCGGGAAACCACAATTCACGGAGAAATGGCTCAAAGCAGTATTTATTACCAGCAGCCGTTAGAGATCTAGGTTTAAAATAAACACAGCTGGTGTTATGTAACTAAACCTGCACAAGTCGTTTATTGATTGATGGGAGCTGGTGGCAATTATAGAATTTCATGTATGCCCCCGAGGTTGGAAACAAACCAACCCATGTATTAAAAATGTCGTCATCAACCTCATTCTTGTAACTTTATGAAAATAGCAGGTGTGGGCCATCAGAGAGGCAAATTAACTAAATATAGTCAGTGACACAACAGAAACTTAGTGAAAAAAAGACAAGACAGTAAATGCAAAATAAACTTACCCAAAGAAGATGAAGGCATTCTGAAAAAACACAGCGATCCCAGGATATACTACGTTTTTATCTGTAAAAACAGTTGTAACAGGCAGAGATTGTGATATCAAAGCATATTGTTACAAACCCAATGTCAATGCCATTTTACCACCAAAATCAGCGACTTTCCAATAAGTATGTGCCACGCAGTGGCACCCATCACAGATCTCCCCAGGGCACACCACACGCCATCTGGCCCTTGCAGATAGTCTGCAGAATGAAGACTGACTCAACACAGTGGGAAAGGCACCTAGCTGCCTCAGGAGGTGACACTGGAGCAAGGACACAGAGCAGGTGAGGATGAAAGGGACACTGCTGTGCCCCAGGAGCGGCCATGGCAGCAGGACAAGGTCTGAGCAGTGAAAAGTGCAGGCTGGGTGGTGCGGGGCCTGAAGGGACTGCGGGGTTGCTGAGGGCTCAGATTGTCACTGACTAAGCTGAGATGCCATGGGAGGGTTTAAGGGGAAAAGTGACCTCAGCCTGCTGTGTGTGGGGGGAGGCAGGGAGAAACCAGGGACAGGACTGTGACGAACTGAAGCAGGAGGTGAGAGAAAGAGGCGGCAACTTGACAGGCCTCCAAACACCTGCCAGGACACAGCAGCCCTGATCGATCAGGATGGGCACCACGGCCTCAGGAAATGTTGCTCTTATGTATCCAGAACTAAAACCCAAGTTCCACACCCACCACCGTCAATGAATGAGCATTAACCACCATAGGGAGGCACTCTGGATGGGTGGACTTATTCTCACCTTAGAATACCTTCAAGCTCATTCTCTAACATTCAGGAGCTGGTTTATGTAAGTTTCAGCAGTCCCACATTCAATAACCTTGGCCACAAGATGGTTCATAGAAATGCCATGTAAAGGTTCTTTAGAGGCCCGTATCTGACCGCATCCCACACTGGAGCACCTAGGTTAGAATCCTGGCTCTGTTCTCAACGTTCACCTCCTGCTCATGCCCATCCTGGGGAGCCACAGGTGATGGCCCAAGCAGTTGGGTCCCTGATACCCATGTGTGAGACCTGCATGGAACTTGGGGCTTCCAGTTTTGGCTTGGTTCAGCCCCAGCTATTGTGGGCATTTTTGGGGAGTGAACCAGCAGACAGGGACTCTGTATCTCTCTAACTCTCAAATAAATAAAATTAATTAAAATTGGGAGGAGGTGAGCACTATGGTGCAGCGGGTTAAGAAGCCCAATTTGAATCCTGGCTATTCTTTCCGATCCAGCTCCCTGGTGACATGGATGATAGCCAGTGGATGACGGCCTAAGAATCTGGGTTCCTGCCATCCACTCAGGAGATTAGGAAGGAGTTCTAGGCAAAGACCTTGGTCTGGCTCAGACCTGGCTGTCATGGCCTTTTGGAGAGTGAACCAGCATATGGGAGATCTGTGTTTCTCACTCCGTCACAGTGGCTTTTATATAAATAGATACACCTTTTAAGCTTCTACTTGGACAACCTGGGGCTGCTTTGGAGGCACAAACGTGTGGATGGAAGATCTCAATCTCTCTGTTTTTGGATACAAAGAAAGAAAAAATTATTCATTTTTGTTTTAAAAATCCAATGGTAAAAGGGGCCAGCACAGTGGCTTAGTAAGCTAATCTTCCACCCACAGCACTGCCATCCCATACAGGTCCACTTCCAACCTAACTCCCATGTTATTGCCTGGGAAAGCAGAGATGGCCCAAGTCCTTGGGTCCCTGCACCCATGTGGGAGACTCAGAAGAATCTCCTGGCTTCAAACTGGTTCAACTCTGGCCACTGTGGCTACTTGGGGAGTGAACCAGCAGATGGAAGATCTTTCTGTCTCTCTTTCTCTCTGTAAATCTGCTTTTCCAATATAAATAAATAAATCTGAAACAAAAAAAGTTTGAACACCACTGAACAGCTAGACACACACACAGTCAGCTGCTGAGGTCTGTGGAAGCCAAAAAGAAGCAGGGTTGGGAGCTGCATTTCCCCACCTCTTCTGCCTCTAGATGACAAGAACAACAGCAAAGTACAGAAGTAAGGAAATGCAAACACACAAAGCAGACCCTGCAGTGCAGGGGCATCCAGCGGTGAAGACTCTGATAGTCACTGACCCAAGCAAACCAAACCAGCTGATTCTAAGACAACAACATTACCATACAACCCTGGCATCTGGGCGGTGAGGTGCAGCCCGCAGCCTTGCTCACCTTTTGCCACATAACCTCCAAAGAGGATCCACATGGAGGCGATCAGCGAGCCAAAGGCCAACATGAAACCAATGAAGAGCCAGATGCGGGCACCTGGGGCAGGAGAGAACCAGAGACACGGTCAGGACAGCCAGTACTTCCAGAAGGACAAACACCCACACAGAAACAATTAGAGTCTAAAATCAGAATGGCAAGAAAAAATATGTTCAGTATCTTTCATGATGACAGGTGTTGGTCTATCATGCCCGGGCTGCTCTGTATTTCTTCTTCTTTTTAAATAAAGATTCATTTATTTTTATTTGAAAGGTAGATTTGCAGAAAAAAGAAGAGACAGAGATATCTTCCATTCACTGGTTCACTCCCCAGATGGTTACAAAAGCCGGGGCTGAGCCAATTTGAAGCCAGTAGCCAGGAACATTTCCAGGTCTCTGGTGTGGGTGTAGAGGGACCAAGCCAGAACATGAACCAGTGACCTTATGGAATGCTGGTGCTTATAGACAGAGGATTAGCCTGAGGTGCCACTGCACCAGACCCATAGCGTATATATTCTTTTCAAGAAATAATTATTGGGGGCCCGGCACGGTGGCGCAAGTGGTTAAGGTCCTCGCCTTGCACGCCCGGGATCCCATATAGGCGCCGGTTCTAATCCCAGCAGCCCCACTTCCCATCCAGCTCCCTGCTTGTGGCCTGGGAAAGCAGTCGAGGATGGCCCAAAGTCTTGGGACCCTGCACCCACGTGGGAGACCCGGAAGAAGCTCCTGGCTCCTGGCTTCGGATTGTCTCAGCTCCAGCCATTGCGGCCGCATGGGGAGTGAATCATCAGACGGAAGATCTTCCTCTCTGTCTCTCCTCCTCTCTGTTTATCTGACTTTCCAATAAAAATAAATAAATCCTGGGGCCGGCACTGTGGTGCAGCAGCTAAAAATAAATATTTTAAAAAAACATTAAAGAAGAAAGAAAGAATTATTGTTTATCAATCTAGGTATTCCAAGAGTATTTATTTACCTTCCCCAACTACTTCATGGTGAGTAAAATCTACTCAGTTTGCCATAAAACATCTCGCGGCATGCGTCACCATGGTTGAAGGCTTATTCCCTGTGGATTTGAGGAACTGTGCTTTCAAGTGCAAAAGCTACAGAGTCCTTTCAGGTAGTGACACACGTCCTGAAGACAAGCCGCACCGGGTGGCGACAGGATCTACCAGTTTCCACAAGCCACAGGCCAGGCGGTGAAGTGAATGCAAATGTGTTGTGGCTGCACGTAGGGAAGTTGCATTAAAATTACATGAGCTTTGAAATCACATTTATCTAACATATAGGAAGATTTGCTATAAATAAATGGAGTCATCAGATTGGTCAAAGTGAATTCTAAGTCAGAATTTTTTAATTGGCATATATTCTTACAAAACATTGCCTAGCTCAATAACGAACAGCAAATAGAATATTACACAGTTTTCTAATTTCATATCCCAAACATAAAACAATCATTTCAACATAATAAGCTGTGTTAGATCTATTCAAACATGTACAATGTAAAATGATGGGCCAACACTTTCCCTGTGGCATTGCACATGATGCAGGCATCCCACATGGGTGCTGCTCTGTGTCCTGGCCATTCTACTATTAGTCAAGTCCAGGAAGAGCAGCAGAGAATGGCCCAAGGACTCAAACCGCCCATCTAAGTGGGCTACAAGACAGAAGCTCCTGGCTTCAGCCTGGTCCAACCCTCATTGCCAGCACCTGGGGCAGTGAACTAGTGGATATATCTCCCTGTTTCTCCCATTCTTTTTCTTTCAAACAGACAAATGAATAAACAACACAAACAGCTAGCCAAGCACCCCAGCCCTGCATTCTCCAAGCTGTGCGAGCAAGCAGGTTTTACCCTGTGGTCAGTGGCTAACCACTGCCAGCACTCGTCTCTTCTTTCGGAGTCACAGGGGTAGTGCAGGCGGGTGTTTTTGAATGCTTCACTAAAAATAAAGAAATGAGGACCCGGTGCAGTGTCCTAGTGGCTGGAGTCCTTGCTTTACACATGGCGGGATCCCATGTGGGCAACAGTTTGTATCCTGGCTGCTCCACTTCCCTTCTGGCTCCCTACTTGTGATCTGGGAAACTAGCAGAGGATAGCCCACAGCCTTGGGACCCTGCACCCACGTGGGAGACCAGAGGATGCTCCTGGCTCCTGGCTTTGGATTGGCTCAGCTCCAGCTGTTGGCGGTTAGTTGGATCTTTCTGTACTTCCTTCTCTCTATAGATCTGACTGTTCAATTGTATGAGAACAACTGATTGGGTATCATTTGAATGAGGACGCTTGATTGAATATGCAAAAGAAAAAGAGATACTTCTCAGACAAGGGTGTGGAAACAATTGAGGAGTTCTGTAGACAGGCTTTTGGGACTATGTAAGCTCCTTAACACCTCCTCCCTTAAGCTATGTGACTCTCAGTCTACAAAAGCCTGCTGCCACTAATAAACTTTAGCCATTGACCATCAGTCAGAAGTCCACATGTATTCTTATCACCTCTGTGTACCAAGTCCACCACTGCAGGACAGCAAATACCAATAAAAGTAAATAAATCTTCCTAAAAAACAAAGAAACCAGTCACTCTGAGACTTGCCTAAATCTGTTTTTACTTTGGTATAGATGAACTATTTAAGTTTGCCATCTAAATTGTTCAATAAGGACCATCTTCTCAAATCTCTGAATGAGCTGGCACTGTGGGATGTCGTCACTCCTTGCATTCTGCCCACCTGGGGCACAGACCCTAGAGCCAAGGAGATGGAGTCCCCGGCTGAGCCAAGAAGGACCCTTGAGGGCCCATGACGCAGAACTCGGGGTTCCACTTGGCTTGAAGGACAGGAGTGCTGATGCTTGGTTACACAGCAGGCGAACGGACTCCATACATTCTGAACACTGGTGGTCCATACAAGAGGGTAACTGTGGCTCTGCCATGAGATGTATTTTGTCACAATTATGTAAGTCCATCTCCCTCTCTATTCTAGGATTTATTTATTTTTATTAGAAAGGCAGATTAGTGTTTCAGAGAGAAGGAGGGACAGAGCAAGATCTTCCACCTGCTGGTTGACTCAGAGCTGAGCTGATCTAAAGTCAGGAACCAAGAGCTTCTTCCAGGTCTCCCACATGGGTGCAGGTTCCCAAGGCTTTGGACCACCCTCCACTGCTTTCCCAGGCACAAGCAGAGAGCTGGACCGGAAGTGGAGCAGCCAGGACACGAACTGGCACCCATATGGGATCCCAGCACTTGTAAGGGGAGTATTGCTTAATTTAGTCATTGTGTTGGGCCCCAGCTCTGTGATTTTAAACCATATAAAAATGCTAATTCAACCACATTAGCTGGCAAAAAGGGTAGAAAATTTAGGTGATAGTTTAATAAGCCAGAAACTGACTGTGCACACCTGCTATCGGTACTGTTCTCTGCTGCACAGGTTGGAGACTCCCATCCTCACTGCCCTAGCACACCCTATCCTCACTGCCCTCGCACACCCATCCTCACTGTCCTAGCACACCCCATCCTCACTGCCCTCGCACACCCATCCTCACTGCCCTCGCACACCCCATCCTCACTGCCCTCGCACACCCATCCTCACTGTCCTAGCACACCCATCCTCACTGCCCTAGCACACCCATCCTCACTGCCCTCGCACACCCCATCCTCACTGCCCTAGCACACCCATCCTCACTGCCCTCGCACACCCATCCTCACTGCCCTAGCACACCCCATCCTCACTGCCCTAGCACACCCATCCTCACTGCTCTCGCACACCCATCCTCACTGTCCTAGCACACCCATCCTCACTGTCCTAGCACACCCATCCTCACTGCCCTCGCACACCCCATCCTCACTGCCCTAGCACACCCATCCTCACTGCCCTCGCACACCCATCCTCACTGCCCTCGCACACCCATCCTCACTGCCCTAGCACACCCATCCTCACTGCCCTCGCACACCCCATCCTCACTGCCCTAGCACACCCATCCTCACTGTCCTAGCACACCCATCCTCACTGTCCTAGCACACCCATCCTCACTGCCCTAGCACACCCATCCTCACTGCCCTCGCACACCCATCCTCACTGCCCTCGCACACCCATCCTCACTGCCCTCGCACACCCCATCCTCACTGCCCTCGCACACCCCATCCTCACTGCCCTCGCACACCCATCCTCACTGCCCTCGCACACCCATCCTCACTGCCCTCGCACACCCATCCTCACTGCCCTCGCACACCCATCCTCACTGCCCTAGCACACCCATCCTCACTGCCCTCGCACACCCATCCTCACTGCCCTCGCACACCCATCCTCACTGTCCTAGCACACCCATCCTCTCACTGCCCTCGCACACCCCATCCTCACTGTCCTAGCACACCCATCCTCACTGTCCTAGCACACCCATCCTCACTGTCCTAGCACACCCATCCTCACTGTCCTAGCACACCCATCCTCACTGTCCTAGCACACCCATCCTCACTGTCCTAGCACACCCCATCCTCACTGTACTAGCAAACCCATCCTCACTGTCCTAGCACACCAATCCTCACTGCCCTAGCACACCAATCCTCACTGCCCTAGTACACCAATCCTCACTGTCCTAGCACACCAATCCTCACTGTCCTAGCACACCCATCCTCACTGCCCTAGCACACCCATCCTCACTGTCCTATCACACCCATCCTCACTGCCCTAGTACACCCCATCCTCACTGTCCTAGCACACCCATCCTCTCACTGCCCTAGCACACCCATCCTCACTGTCCTAGCACACCCATCCTGACACTCCCCCTGCTCACCTCCATCCTCTCCCTAGCCTGTCAGAATCAGACAAGCGGCCCTCCCAGGTGCCATTCTCCTTCTCAGGATATAAACATGTACAGTCAGACGTTGTTTGTACTGACTTACCTGTTTGACCAAGACAACCTTCACTGTAACTATCGCCTCGGACTTGTCCATTGGATACTGCATTGATCCTATACAAAATAAAATCAAGATCTCAGGATTTCTGATTCCAGTAAGAAAGCCATCCATGGTATCAATCACCAGATGCAATAGGCTGGTATTTCCTCAGGTCAGCCTGCTCAGTACTGAGTAATGGGTTCATGTGAGCTGAAGTAAATCTGGTCAAGTGGAGATCCTCTCCAAGACAGTGGTTGTGGCATCAGACTGGCAGATCACCATTCAGCCTGGTGGAAAATCCCTGGCCTCAGTCCAATCTGCCAAGGCAGAAACTCTCGGTGTGAGGTCAGATGGCCGCGTGCTAGTGAGTCCTGTAGGTGATACGGAAGCTTGTCAAAATCAAGAACACGATTCTCAAAAAGGTACCTTGCTAAGACTGGGCAGGTCAAAGGGTGACTTGGCTTTCCATTTGTACACATCAGACGTCCTAACACGTAACTATGTATGGCAATGGCAAACAGAATGGGCCCTAGACAATCCAAAAATGACCAACAATCAGCTTTCTGAACGAATGTTTTAAAAAAGATTTTTAGGACTCGGCATGATAGCGTAGCAGCTCACTTTGCAAGTGCCAGGATCCCATGTGGGCGCCAGTTCTAATGCCTGCAGCCCTGCTTCCCATCCAGCTCCCTGTTTGTGGCCTGGGAAAGCAGTCGAGGATGGCCCAAAGCCTTGGGACTCTGCACCCGCATGGGAGACCTGGAATGAGGTTCCGGGCTCCTGACTTCAGATGGGCATAGCTCTGGCCGTAACAATCTCTTGGGGAGTGAATCATCGGACGGAAGATCTTTCTCTTTGTTTATTTTCCTCTATGTATATCTGACTTTCCAATTAAAATAATAATAAATTAACAATAACAAAAAAAGAATCCTGTGAGGGTGAGGAGGCGTTTGGCATCTCAGTAAATGTCTCACTTCTCTCACCACCCAATGCTCAGACACCCTGCCTTACTGTGCCTCTGACTCCAACAGCCACACCCTGTCTGCATGGAAAGCCCCCTCCTTACCTGCCCTGGGGCCCCACATCTGACCCTCCTATGTACACGCCTGGCATCCTGACTCAGAAGATGAATGTGTGCTGGAGTTGAACTGTGCCGAGCCCGGTGGTGGAGGGGAACAGAGCGGGGAAGGCAGGCAACCGTCCGTATGGAGTGTCTGCTAACCCGTCTTTAGCCTGGTTCCAGTGTCCCTTCCACACCCTTGGGGGACGGACCACCTGCATGCACTCTGTGCCAGGCTAAAGTTTGGGCCCCAACCTCTGCCTGCCACCTCTCGTCCAGAAATCTGAAAGAAATTCAGTCTGCTGAGGAATGCTCCCATACTCTAATATTATATTTTTTCTTCTCATTTCTAATAAATTTTGGAAGGGAGAGAAAAAAATTTTCCTGACATTTTTAACCAGAACTTCTATATGGTTTTCAAAATTTTTTTCTCGGGCCCGGCGCGATGGTACAGTGGTTAAGGTCCTCGCCTTGCACGCCCAGGATCCCATAGGGGTGCCAGTTCTAATCCTGGCCATTCCACATCCCATCCAGCTTCCTGCCAGTGAGTGGCCTGGGAAAGCAGTCAAGGACGGCCCAAAGCTTTGAGACCCTGCACCCGCGTGGGAGACATGGAAGAGGCTCCTGGCTTCAGACTGGCATAGCATTGGCCGTTGCGCTCACTTGGCGAGTGAATCATTGGACGGAAGATCTTCCTCTCTGTCTCTCCTCTTTGTATATCCGCCTTTCCAATAAAAATAAATCTTTAAAAAAATTTTTTTTCCTTCCAATTAAAAAAAAAAAAAGACATGTATGTATGTATTTGAAAGGCAGTAACAACGTGGGGAAAGATAATGTGGGAAGAGAAAAAAAGAGAGAGATGGAGGGAGAGCGCGTGTGAGGGTGCTGGACCAGAGGAACAACAGGATCACAACTGGCACGTGCAGGGGATGCCATCTGCCATGACAGGTGGTAGCTTAACCTGCTGTGTCACACTGCTGGCTCTGTTATTTTTTTAAATTAAGTGGAAAATTATTCAGGGCAGTTTACCTGAAGGTAAGTGGGGCTTGGGGTGCCCACATGCCATGTTGCAGTGCCTCCTTCAAGTCCCGATCTCTACACTACTGATCTAGCTTCCTGCCAATGCATACTTTGGGAGGCAACAGATGATGGGTCTCGTACTCAGGTGCTTGTCATTCATGTGGAAGACCCAGACTGAGTTTTAGTTTCCTGGGTTCAACAAACTTTTCCTTCAAGATACAATTCTAGGGGCCGGTGCTGTGGCATTCTGCATTAAGCTGCCACCTGTAACACCAGCATACCATGCAGATGCTAATTTGAATCCTGGCTGCTCCACTTCTGATCTAGTTTCTTGCTCATGCACCTGATAAAGCAGCCTAGGATGCTTGGGCCCCTGTACCCATGTGGGAGATCCTAGATGAAGTCTCTGGTTTCAGCCTGCCCCAGCCCCAGCTGTTGTGCTCGTTTGGAAAGTGAACCAGTGGATGGAAGTTCTCAGTCTCCTCTCTCTCTCTTCTCTTCCTGTAACTCTTACGAATAAATAAAATAAATCTTAAAAAGAAAAATAAAAGCAGAAAGGATGCCATTGTAAATATTTCAGGCCTGTGGGTCACAAAGGCTGTTACATCATCCAAGTTGGCGATGGTAGGTAATACATAACTGAACAGATGTGGCTTGTGCTCCAGTAATACTCGATTTTAAAATAAGCCTGGCCATAGTTGGCCAACCCTTAAGTGGTCTGTAACACACTTTGCAACTGTAACTGTCATCAGGATAGGGAATAAATATTTCTTTAAAAATTATTTATTTTACTCGAAAATTAGAGTAAAAGAAGGAGAAACAGAGATGGATCTTCCATTCTCTGGTTCACTCCCCAAGTGGCCGTGACAGGCAGAGTTAACCTGGTCCAAAGCCGGCAGCTTGTTCTGGGTCTCCCACATGGGTGTAGGGTTCTAAGGTCTTGAGCCATCCTCTATTGCTCTCACAGGCTCTAAGCAGGAGCTGAATTGGAAGTGGAGCAATGGGACCCAAACTGGGATACCCATATGGGATGCTGGTGCTACAAGCAGAGTCACCATGCTAGCCCTAAAAACGTGGGTTTTTTTTTTTTTTTTTGGTTTAACTAATTAACTAATTAAGAAAGTATTTGGAAAATTTCAAATTCACATCAAAATAAAGGGACTTCTGGGACAGACAACTCAGCAACATGGAGAATATATAATACAATAAAGAAATGTTGAGGGGGCTGGCGTCATGGTTCAACAGGCTAATTTTCCACCCTGTGGCGCCAGCATGCCATATGGGCACCAGTTTGTGTTCCAACTGGCTCCACTTGCAATCTAGCAGTCTGCTCATCGCCTGGTGAAACAGTGGAAGACTGCTTGAGCCCGTGGGCCCATGCATCCTTGCAGGAGATCTGAAGAAGCTCCTGGCTCCTGGCTTTGGATCAGCTTAGCTCTGGCCATTGTGGCCATGCAGGGAGCAAATCAGCAGACGGACCTTCTCTTCTATCTCTCCTTTCCTCTGTAAATCTCTTGCAAATAAAATAAATAAATCTTAAAAAGAGAGAGAGAGAATGTTGGGAAAACTAAGGATAGGACAGAGGAAGATACAAAACAGAGAAAAAATGGCTAGAAATACTAGGGTTGGCCAACTATGGCCAGGCTTATTTTAAAACAGTTTTACTGGAGCGCAGCCACATCTGTTCACTTACATACAGCCTACTTGCTGCCTACTTGGGATGATGTGTACAGAGGCTCTATAGAGCCTGTGTGACCACCAGGTCTGAAATATTTACAATGGGATACCACAGTCCAGAGAGTCAGAAACCACCCACATTAGAGCAGCATTCGAGAAGGAACCCGATTCCAGGGAAAACGGTGCTTTCAATCAGAAAGACAAGGGCCCATGGACTCCAGCAGAAACAGGAAATCGGTACGCACTAACAATGCAGGAAATGAGAACTGTAGTATTACAGATTTAAGGAACACCTCGGTAGATGGCAACATGAAAGCTTAAGAACCACAGGGTGTGGTACTGAAACTGCTATTATACCACTATCTCACTTTGAATTTCGTTTGCCTTTTTTTTTTTTTTTTAAATTTTCAGAAGGACTGTTGCTGTTAAAATCTGTCAGGCTTATTATTCCTCCCCTCAAAGCCTCCAGCGGCTCCCTGTATGTCACAGGGAAAGCCAAGTCCACAAGCACTCTGCAAGACCCAAGACCATGGCTGCTCCCCACCTGGCCCTGCCACTTACTCCTTCCCTGGGTCCCACTCCCTGAAAGAGCCCATGCACTGGCTGCTCCATGCTCAGCTCCTGAATTTCTTCGGCTACTCAGAGCCACATGCCCAGGAGACATTCCTGATTGTAAAACTCCCTGCACTTCCTGCTGGCATTTCCTATCTCCCCTTTCCGCTTTGTAGTTTTCTCCCTTGCCGGTATGATCTAAGACGCTGTTCATTTCTCAGCTATGAACCGCCTCATCCATTAGCACATTCCAAAAAGGTACGAAGTTTTCTATATTTTAACTATTGAATCCATTGTTACTAAAGAGTTCATAAACAGTTGGAAGAAGAAGGAATAATCTCTTGGGCAAAAGATACAACTTCTGACCTACATGTACATGTATCAACATGGGGACAGGGAGGGAGACAGGGAGGACCAGCCAGGGCACGCTGGTCCACACCAGTCCTTGTCTGCCATCCGACTTCCAGGTCAGGCTGAATGTGTAAATTTGACATTTAAAACCTTTCAGTCTATGAAGTTTACATAAAACAGCTGTGCTTTGCGAGCCTGTCTAGGGAGCACCAACAGACTTACATGAGGAAGGCAATGGTTGCTATCACACCGCAAGCATGATAGGAGTGATTGAAGTCTTCCATTCTGGGATACATCACCGCAGCGTCTATAATAATCCACCATCCTGTAAAAAACTAAAGCAAACAGAGGATACCAATGAGGAATGATAGCGATTTTAAAGTCTCACTGGTCAAAAAGAAAGGAAGATCAGGATGGCACCCTGATGTTATGGGTCAAGCCACTTCCTTGGGTGCCAGCATCCACCTAACTCCAGGACAAACTTCAACACAGGGGAAAAGCATGGTCTAAGGACGAAGGGAATGGAAATAAAACATACTATGTGAGTTCAGGTACTGGGTGTTCCACTTTCCATCCGGCTCCCTGCTAACGCAGCTGGGAAAGCAGCAAAAGATGACTCAAGTGCTTGGGCCCCTGCATCTGTGTGGGAGACTGACCCAGCTCCAGCCACTGTGGCCAGTAGGGGAGTGAACCAGCAGACAAATTCTGTCTCTCCTCTCATGCTCTGCAATTCTACCTTTCAAAGAAAGAAGCAATTTCTTTTCCTTTCTTTTTTTTTTTTTGAAAAAAGGTAAATACTTGGAAACAATGATCGCACCTACTTCTCCCTAATCCTAGATCCTTCCCACCCATCAACTATGTAAACATGATAAAAAAAAAAGTAAATGCTCTAGCAGTTTGTTGAACATAATTTACACATGACTTAATAGTCACTGCCCTTAAATCTAACAGCAATTAACATTAACTTCTTAGCTAAACTGCTTCAAACATTATACTATCACAACAAAGTCTGTAATTTGTGAAGAAGCTAAGTTACAGTAGCTCTTGGCAGGAGAAAAGGAAAAACTGACTCAGAGGTTGCCTGCTGCTGACGTGCTCCGAGCATCCAGACCTCAGCAAGGACAAAGGCGAGACCAGGGGCGGGCGTCCGTGTGCCACACAGCGGCACCTAGGCTGACGCCCCACTTCATTTCTGACTCCAGTTTCCTACCAATGCGGATCCTGGGAGGCAGCAGGATGGCTCAAGTAATGGGGTTCCTATCATCCATCCGAGAGTTCTGGACTGTGGCTTCCCAGAGTCACCTGGGCCTAGCCCTGAATAGGGGAGGCAATTTGGCCAGTGAACCAGGGGATGGAAGCCTGCTGCTCAAACTTCCTAGATTTCTGAAACATGAAGAAATCACTCAAATTTAAGCAAGGAACCATTACTACTGACAGTTTTAGCTAAACTCTCAGTATTGTGTTTAACAGCTCTGCGGCTCTGCTCTTCCTTGGATGAATTACATTCAGCACAGCCTACAGATGGCTAAGATGTGATTTGAAATTCAAACAGTGGATTATCACTAATTTACTTGAACTTGGTCTTGGATATAAATGAGGGCAAATTATACAATGGCAAAAACAAACTGCACAATTCTTTTTTTCATTGGAAAGTCAGATATGCAGAGAGGAGGAGAGACAGAGAGAAAACCCTTCCTTCCACTGGTTCACTCCCCAGGTGGCTGCAATGGCCAGAGCTGAGCCACGCTGAAGCCAAGAACCAGGAGCTTCTTCTGGGTCTCCCACATGGGCACAGGGTCCCAAGGCTTTGAACCATCCTCAACTACTTTCCCAGGCCACAAGCAGAGAGCTGGATGGGAAGTGGGGCTGCAAGGACATAAACAGAGGCCAAATGGGATCCTGGCGCTTGCAAGCTGAGAACTTTGGCTGCTGGGCTACTGCACTGGGCTCTCTGCACAAATTTTTGTCATCTGCCAGAAACTTAGAAATAATAATCACTAAATTCTGACACGGAAGGTTTTGAAAGTAATTTCTTTCCTATTGGGATCTCTACCTCTGATCTAGTTCTGAGAAACCGCATTTTCTGATAATCATTTGAAAATAAGCATGTTAGTTTTGCGAGGAGTGATTCAAACATCCCAGGCTGGACCAGGCGCCATTTCCTGCTTCCCCTTCTCCACAGCTCCTTTCGGGTTATCCTTCAATCAGATGTAACCTGAGATTGCCACTCCCCAATCTCTGGCCCCTCCCCCTGGTCTCCACCCACCTACCTGAGGCTCAGATAATCCCAGTCTGGGGGGGGCGGGGGGCCAGCATGCAGCCCCTTCCTTCCCTTCTCACCCAGCTCTCCCTGTCCTCCTCCATCTTGCCCCCTCCCCTGCCCTGGCAGCCCCCATCCGACCTCCATGGCAGGAGATATGTCCCTTCCAGTTTTCTCTCCCTCCACCCCGCCTCTGCTCCTATCCTGCTAGAATGAAGGACCTACTATGCACCTTGCTGCATCTGGGATTTTGGCTTGCGGTAAACTAATCGTGAAGAGGACTCGGCTACAGGAATTAGCTGCGTGTAACAATGTAAGAATTTTAAGTGCTTTTAAAACCTAACAAGCCTAATAAAATTACTTTTATCAGATTATAGACAGATCTATATTCTATTTATGACATCATTACTAGCTAGAATGAATACTTATTCACTTCTTTTTTTAACCTTCAAGTCAATATACTTGAGATTCTTTTTTATAGAAGAAAAATTTGAGGGCACAGTGTGAGGCTTAATGGGTAAATCCTTCCCTTGCACATCGAGGATCACATATGGGCACCGGTTCTAGTCCCGGCTGCTCCACTTCCCATCCAGCTCCCTGCCTGTGGCCTGGGAAAGCAGCAGATGACAGCCCAAGGCCTTGGCACCCTGTGCCGAGGTGAGTGACCCGGAAGACACATTTACTAAATGCACTTCTATGATGTGTTTACCACACAGCGAGTAACCCAACCAACCTATTAATCAAGTTTAACCCCTAAAATGGAAATAGTAGCACAACTGCCCATTAAAAAAGTCAGTAGTGACTGGGTCTGTTGCTGTAGTACATAGGGTTAACACGTGATGCCTGCATCCCATACTGGAGTGCCTTGTTTTGAGTCCTGGCTGCTGGGCTTCTGACTGCATTCCCTGTTAAGGTCCCTAGAAAAGCGGAAGACAGCCCACAACCTTGGGCCTCCACCGCCCACTTGGGAGAAGCAGATGGGGCTCCAGGCTCCTGGCTTCTGCCTGGTCCAGTTCCAGCTGCTGCAACCATTTTAGGAATCAACTAACAGGGTCCAGCAGCGTGGCCTAGCGGCTAAAGTCCTCGCCTTGAATGCGCCAGGGGCCCATATGGGCGCCAGTTCTAATCCCGGCTGCTCCACTTCCCATCCACCTCCCTGCTTGTGGCCTGGGAAAGCAGTCGAGGACGGAAAGCTTTGGGACCCTGCACCCACATGGGAGACCCGGGAGAACTCCTGGCTCCTGGCTTCGGACCGGCATAGCATCGGCCATTGCACTTACTTGGGAAGTGAATCATCGGATGGAAGATCTTCCTCTCTGTCTCTCCTCCTCTCTGCATATCTGACTTTGCAATGAAAATAAATAAATCTTAAAAAAAAAAAAAGAAATCAACTGACAGATGAAAGATCTTTCTCTCTGTTTTTCCTTACTTTCTGTAACTCTGTTTTTCAAATAAGTAAGTCAATCTTTTTTTTTTTTTTATTGGAAAGGCGGATATACAGAGAGGAGAGACAGAGAGGAAGATCTTCGTGCCGACGATTCACTCCCCAAGTGAGTGCAACGGCCAATGCTATGCCGGTCCGAAGCCAGGAGCCTCTTCCATGTCTCCCATGCGGGTGCAGGGTCCCAAAGCTTTGGGCCGTCCTCGACTGCCTTACCGGGCCACAGGCAGGGAGCTAGAAGGGAAGCGGGGCTGCAGGGATAGAACTGGCGCCCATATGGGATCCTGGGCGTGCAAGGTGAGGACCTTAACCACTTGCGCCACCGCGCTGGGCCCAGTAAGTCAATCTTAAAAAAAAATTTTAACAATTATTCACACATTCAGTATGGTCATAGATAAAATAAAAAGCAGTTAATTTAAAACATCCCACAAACTCCAAATCACATGTACACAAACACACAGAAATGACGCAAACACCAATTTCCAGGGCACTTACCAGCACCCCCGCAGCGATGGATGCGATAGTGTTGCGCTTCTCCCCCCAGTCAACGCATTCCGAGCATCTCATGCCTTCTAGAAAGCCTGACATCTTCTCAGGTCACTTCACACACAACTGGAGCTCCTCCGCCGCTCGCTCTTACTCCTGACTCAGGTTCCTGCGAAGTAAGGCACAGTTCAGGACAGCGGCACAACACTATTACAAACGCCTTCATCCTGGCTCCACCCACGGCTCGGAGGGCAGTTTTGCTCTAGCCTCGGACAAATGCTCCCATTGCAACTTTGGGAAACAAAATCTGCAATCGTTTCTTCCTTCCGATTTAAAAGATGGTTTGGGTAAATATGAATGAAAGTGGGTACCCAGATACTGAAAGCTTGTACTGGCTGACCTCCCCTGCAGCTATTACATCCTATGATTTCATGAAAGTTATTCATTTAAGTGAGTCTTGTAATAACAGTGTACAGTAAATAACCCATCAGTTATTTTAGATCATCTTAATTCCAAAATGATATGATTGCGGTATACACGGTCCAGAAACACCAGGTGGGGTGACACAAATGAAAACTCTGGGTCAAAGCACCTGGACTCAGACTGAGGCATGAGACAGCCAAGGGTTAACCAGGAAAACCAAGAAAAACAAATTCGAAACAATCCTGAGGCAGGAAGACAGAAGGGCTGATTGGAGAAGTTGAGACAGAAACTCCAACTTACAACCCCAATGTTCCAACTGCCTGAGGGACAAATTGTGAGAGAACTTGCAAAACTGCCAATATCTCCAAGTAACAGGTGTATGCACAGGCATGTGAATGTCCAGAAACCACACCGAGGGCCCTTCACCCAGCACAGACTGGCCTGGTAAAGATGCAGCCACAAATGCCTCAGGGCCTCAGGCCTCGTTCCACAGGCTTGTTCTGCTCTCTCCAGTGTGCAAATACACCTTTCCAGGATGGCATTCTGCTGCGGTGGGTTAAGCCATTGCCTTCAACTCGGGCCAGTTCAGGTTCCAGCTGCTCCCCTTCCCATCCAGCTCCCTGCTGATGCGCCTGGGAAAGCAGCCGAGGACGGCCCAAGAGCTCGGCCACTGCGTCCACGTGGAAGACCCGAATGCAGTTCCAGGCTTCAGACTTTGATCTGGTCCAGTTTGGACCACTGTATTTGAAAGTGAGCTAGCACGAAGGACAATCTCATTCTGTTCCACTCTCCCTCACTCTTCAACTCTGCCTTTTAGATAAATTAATCTTTAGAGATATTAGTAGTCAACTATTACTGATTATGTGTTTGCGCCTCCTTCAGTTCAGAGGTTCAAAAGCACCTCGTCCATGCCTTCCTGTGTGTGTCCCTGACAACAGCGGAAACACATTTTTCTGAGGAATCTTCACATTTTATCATGGAACATGTGCTCTTCATACCCAAATTAGGAAACTAAACACGGGACTGCGGGCCACACCACTTCCTTCCACTGCAGTATTTTCTCCCTCTCTTAGGCAGACGTACAGGAGGCCTTCTAGGTCACAGAACACCCTTTTAATCTAAACACCTCTCATTGCAACAGCCGTTTCCATCAAAAGCAAGTACAGGTTTGTGGTTAACGTTAATTCAAATGCAAGCAACTGCTGCTGAAACGACCACAGTCGACCGAAACTCCCCACAAATTACACGCAGCATTCCTCAAAGCTGCGCTTGCACAGACCTGACCAGAGGCCAGGTCAAAATAAATTAAAAAATCAACACGTACACCTTACAAATAATCAAGCCGCACCCACACCCCCACGGAGGAGAACCGGCTCGGGAAGTTACTCCGGTCGCCCGGGTACAGAACATCCCTTCAACAAGCAGCGACTCCCCACCTGCAACTGTCACGAGGGCTAATTCTGGAAAACGACTCTTTCTATCCTCTCAAACCCGCCCGTCTGGGAGTGTTATCCTCCGCTCGCCCGGCCCCGACCCCGCCCTGAATCAGACCCGGGCACCTCGAGGTCCACGCGGGAGCCGCGGGGCGCCCTCGGCGGCTGCGTGGACATCGGCCGGCACGCCCTCCCGGACGTAGCGGTCCCGCGGGCAGGACAGCTGTGCCTCCCCGCCCGGCACTTACGTCCGGCCCGACCCGCTGCTGCCGGGGCTCCGGAGCCTGAGGTGCCGCCGCGTACGCCACCCCGCACGTCCCCACTAGTTGCTGCTGGGAAAACAAAACAACCCGACGAAGCCCGGATGCTGCAACTCCGCCCCTCGTCCCGCCGAGCTCCGTCGCGCATGCGCGAGGCCGGGAACCGGGCCAGCGCGATGCCGAGAGGGGCCACGCCCATCGCGCCCACGGTTCCGCGCATGCTCTGAGCTGTCGCGTCGGTCCGGTGGACACGGGCAGTGATGGGTTTGAGGACTCGGCGTGAGAGTCTGGGAGCCGAGGTCGCGCTTTTCTCTGATGTTTCGAGGAGGAGTTGCTCTTTGGGCCTTTGTAGCCGCCTTAAGTGAGGTGCTCAGCCTTGTAGTGCGAGGCTCGGTCCGCAGCTGCTCAGGTGTGGATCGTCGCAGCTGACGCGCGGGGTCCGGCTCTGCGGCCTCCCAGCCACGCACACTCCACATTTTTGTCTTCTTTGTTTTCCCCGGGCGTAACCCAGCCTGTTCCGCTGCGGTGCCTCACCGACCCGGGCTGGCTCGGTCCTGTGGGGCGTGGTAGCTTGCAGCCGCCTTTCTTCGGCGTTCCCTTTAGGGTAGGGCTTCTCACCCTGGGCACTTGCCGACATTGAGGGCACCGAGAGCCTCCCAGTCCGTTGTAGAACCATGATGGCATCCCCCTGGTGTCCAGCCGCTGGAAGCAAGCAGTCCCTTCTGTCAGGCTTGTCTCTGGACCTTCCCGGGGAAGCTCACCTGTGTGGACAGCCCCTGGCTGAGGGACCGTCTGCAATTTCAGGAAGCAACCCTCTTCCAAGAAGAAAGGAAGCTGAGAAGCAGAAAGCAGCCGCGTCTTAGCTCCCGGAAGGACTCGGGGCCCAGTTCTCCCCTCTTAGAGAAGCGGTCCATCGTATCTCTGGTTGCCCGGGGGGGTCGTGGTCGGCTGGGGAGCAGGGTCAAGGTCCTATTCTGGACCTCCCGTTGCAGGAAGTACACGCACTTCCGGGTCTGTGCGCTGGCAGGTGCTGCGCTAGGGGATGGCAGAGGCATGAGATCTCGCCCGGGCGCCACTTGGGCGCGTGGCTTACCCAAGGAACCGAGCTGGTGGAGGGAGAGTTCATGAGGTCTCAGAGCTGAGTCCCTTTCACTTGATGTGAGGATAGCGGCTCCTGTGTGGTTAAGTGAGGGGCTGTTTGCTCTTAGGTTGGCGTTTAGCCAGGCTCTGTGGGTAGCCTGGGGAACAGCGGTACTTATGTTTCCTTTGCTGTTTTGAAGTCTGCGTTTTTGGAGGGGACTTTCCAAGCTAACTAAAAGATAAAACTAGCCGGCGCGAAGGCTGAGTTGACCAATCTTCCACCTCCAAGTGCTGGTTCGTGTTCCCTATATTCCTTTTGCCATCCAGCTCCCTGCTTATGACCAGGGATTGCAGTGGAGGATGGCCCAAAACCTTGGGACCCTGCACCTGTGTGGGAGACCAGGAAAAAGCTCTTGGCTCTTGGCTTCAGACTGGCTCAGCTCCAGCCATTTTGGGGAATGAATCAGCAAATGGGAAATTTTTCTGTCTCTCCTCTCCATAAATCTGATCTGAATTTCAAAAAAAAAAAAAATTTAAAAAAAAACAGAACTGTATAGTATAATCCATGACATATCTTTAAGTGGTTATGGGATATGATTTCATTCTTAGTGCAGAAGTCAAAGCTGACCATGACAGTTTAATGTCTCAGGGAGAAGGAATGGAGAGCAGGCAGTTTGAATGAAACCTCTAAATGCTTGCTAAATGACCAAGACTAGCTTACCAGCCACACTAAACACTAACTTCAGTGGGCAGAGGAAAGGCATTAACTTACCTTTCTGTCTGCAATCCGTCTCTTACCGCCCTCCCCCATCCTGCTGTTTGTATCAGAACATGATTGCCAAAAGTTTCAGAAGCACACCTGAGCATCTTTATGTTTCTGTTATACTAATGGGCATGATTTGTTAGTCTTTTTGGGATATGCAATAAGAACAATGAACTTGCGTACTATAGCCAGAACAAAGCTATTAGAAGGAGGAAAAGCTTAGGGCTGGCGTGATGGCTCAGTGGCTCAATCCTTGCCCTGCAAGTGCTGATATCCCGTAAGGGTTCTGGTTCGTGTCCCAGCTGCTCCACTTCACATCCAGCTCTCTGCCTGTGACCTGAGAAAGCAGTGGAAGATAGCCCAAAGGCCTAGAGCCCTTCACTCACATGGGAGACCTAGAAAAACTCAGGGCTTTGGATCTAGCCATTGTAGCCTTTTTGGGAGTGGACTAGCAGATGGAAGATCTTTCTCTCTCTAAATCTGCCTTTCCAATAAAAATAAAATCTCAAAAAAACAAAAACAAAACAAAAAACCTAAGTGGCCAAAACAAATGCAACAATATCTTTAAAAATACTCAACATTGATTTTTTTCTGCTAGTCACAGAACTGTTCTTATAGCCAAAGCAGCTGGTATAGCTAAATCAAATCATGCTTCAACTTATCTGGACAATAAAATGCTGGACTCTTATGTTTTGTAGATGCTTGCAAGGAAAGAATGTCAACGGAGTTTGAACTGTGGTAATGCAACAAGGTGGAAGAATCCACCATGGAGGGGGGTGTTGGGGAAGGGAGGGGGGAATCCCAGTTCCTATAAAACTGTGTTACATAATCATGCTTCAAGGTTTGAGGTAGACTAACATCAAACAAATGAGGAACCCTTGAGAACCACTGCCAGCAACAGCTGGCTAGCCATTTGCTGAATTTGCCACAGACTACTTCTCAGAAGGGCTAACTTTGGTAAAGTCAAAATGGCAGATCTGTACACAGTACACAGGCTCTCCCCCAGGAGAACGGGAGCGTCCTGGGCCTGATCTTGGTGTCTGTACTGTCCCTGAGAGCTGCACATGCTAGGAAGCCCTCCTGAGGGCAAATGCTCCTTTCGTCAGTAATGAGTGGGAAAGGCTGGTGGTGGAAAGAACCTGTGTTCTCCTCAGACCAGGCTGAAAACACTGCTTCCTGGAAACTGACTATGGCCGTTGTCTGCATTCCATTAGCTGAACTCGTGGTCATGACTGTGGTTTACAACAAGGCGTGCTCTCCTGCTGTGTTGCCAATCTATTTCGTCATCAATGTGCACTTCATGAAAATGGCAAGTACAATACTTGATTTCTAGGTTACCAAGAAAGAATGACATGCAGCTGTGCTATTTTTTTTCCCAAAGATTAATTTACTTGAAAGAGTTAGAGAAAGGGAGGAAAGGGGGAAGAGAGAGAGATCTTAAATCCACTGGTTCATTCCCCAAATAGTCACAGTGGCCAGAGCTGTTCCAGTCTAAAGCCGATCCAAAGCCAGGAGCTTCCTCTAGGTCTCCCACGTGGGTGTAGGAGCCCAAGGACTTGAACCATTCTCCACTCCTTTCCCAAGCCATTAGCAGGAAGCTGGACATGGTATTGAGTAATCAATATATTAAAACCATGCAAATTCTTAACTACATCCTGTGACTACTTCATTGACATTTCAATTTTTGTTTATATACAGAACCGGCTGCTATACACCTCAAAGTGGCTATAAAAAATATGGAACGCTTCACGAATTTGCGTGTCATCCTTGCGCAGGGGCCATGCTAATCTTCTCTGTATCGTTCCAATTTTAGTATATGTGCTCTCAAAGTGAGCATGATTCTGTCAGTTCTTACCAATGATCACGCTCTGTGCAGTTTATAAAGTGATGTGTTGAATCATGGTATATCACTTTCCCCCAACTCTGAAGCACTTTTATCTGAGAAAAAGTTTCAGATCCATTTGCTTTTCTATGGAAGTTTCCATGAACCTTCAGAAAATATAAAAGTTTGTCGAAATCATTGTCTAGATACAAACTCAACTTTTCTGTATATTGGGCAGAGTGCAGAGATAAATGTTGGTCAGTTCAATTCTCTGTGTAGGCCTCTTAATAAAGAACTTTGGGGGCCCAGTGCAGTGGCCTAGCAGCTAAAGTCCTTGCCTTGCATGTGCTGGGATCCCATTAGGGCTCCAGTTCTAATCCCAGCAGCCCTGCTTCCCATCCAGCTCCCTGCCTGTGGCCTGGGAGAGCAGTTGAGGACGGCCCAAAGCCTTGGGACCCTGCACCTGTGTGGGAGACCCAGAAGAACTCCTGGCTCCTGGCTTCAGATCAGCACAGCTCTGACCATTGTGGTCTCTTGGGGAGTGGGTCATCGGACAAAGATCTTCCTGTTTGTCTCTCCTCCTCTGTATATCTGACTTTGCAATAAAAATGAATAAAATCTATTTTAAAAAAAGATCTGTCTCTGATTCTCTGTAATTCTGCATTTTCTTTTTTTTTTTTAAAGATTTATTTTTATTATATTTTCATTGGAAAGGCGGAGCGCAACGGGCCGATACTATGCCGATCCGAAGCCAGGAGCCTCTTCCGGGTCTCCCACGTGGGTGCAGGTTCCCAAAGCTTTGGGCCATCCTCGACTGCTTTCCCGGGCCACAGGCAGGGAGCTGGAAGGGAAGCAGGGCTGCCGGGATTAGAACCGGCGCCCATATGGGATCCCGGGCGTGCAAGGCGAGGACCTTTAACCACTTGCGCCACCGCGCCGGGCCCTCTTTTTTTTTTTTTTTAAGATTTATTTATTTTTATTGGAAAGGCAGATATACAGAGAGGAGGAGAGACAGAGAGGAAGATCTTCCATCTGATGGTTCACTCCCCAAGTGACCGTAACTGCTGGAGCTGAGCCAATCTGAAGCCAGGAGCTCTTCCAGGTCTCCCACGCGGGTGCAGGGTCCCAAGTTTTGGCCTGAGACCCACCAGCAGCTAGCAGGCTGCTGGAAGTTTCAACCCCCAGGCCCAAGGTCACGCCTCTCCCCAATCCCATCCCCTGTCCAATGATGGTGTTGGTTGTCCCTGTGCCTGCCAGTGGCCAGAGTTGAGCGGTTCCATAGTCAGGAGCCAGGAGGTTTTGCTTATCCCACGTGGTTTTGGGCCAACCTCCGCTGCTTTCCCAGGCCACGAGCAGGAAGCTGGATAGCAAATAGGTGCAGCCAGGACATGAACTGGTGCCTGTATGGGATGCCGGCACTTGGAGGTAAAGTCAGTTGAGCCATTCATTGTGCTAGCCCATTAAATGGCTACGAAAACTACAGACAGGATCCGGCACAGTAGCCTAGTGGCTAAAGTCCTCACCTTGCATGTCCGGGATTCCATGTGGGTGCCAGTACTATTTTTTTTTTTTTTTTGCCAGTACTAATCTTGGTGAGATCGCTTCTCATCCAACTCCCTTCCTGTGGCATCAGAAAGCAGTCAAGGATGGTCCAAAGCCTTGGGACCCTGCACCCATGTGAGAGGCACAGAAGAAGCTTCTGGCTCCTGTCTTTGGATCGGCTAAACTGCAGCTGTTGCAGCCACGTGGGGAGTGAATTAGTAGATAGAAGATCTTTCTGTCTCTCTTTATACATCTGACTTTCCAGTAAAAAAAAATAAAGTAAATCTTAAAAAAAAAAAAAGTACAATTTGGAAGATGGTGGTGTGTGCAGCCAGTGATGCCAGCATCTCGTATCGACACTGGTTTGAGTCCTGCTGCTACACCTCTGAATCAGTTCCCTGTTAATTCCCTTGGGAATGTAGCAGAAAATGAACCCCAAAACCCACATGGGAAACCAGGATGGAGTTCCAGGCTCCTGGCTTCTGCCCTAGCCAGGCCATTGCAGACATTTGGGGAGTGAACCTGCGAATGGAGGATCTCTTTGTCTATGTCACTCTTTCAAATAATAAATCTTAAAAAAAAAAAAAATCACTGGATTGGCCTGGTGCTGTGGCTCAACAGGCTAATCCTCTACCTTCAGGTGCTGGCATCTCATTTGAGTGCCAGTTCATGTCCTGGCTGCTCCACTTCTCTTCCAATTCCCTGCTTGGGGCCTGGGAAAGCAGTCGAGGATGGCCCAAAGCCTTGGGTCCCTGTACCCATGTGGGAGACATGCAAGGAGCTCCTAGTTCCTGGTTTCAGATCAGTGTGCCATTTGTGGCCACTTGGAGAGTGAACCAATGGATGGAAGATCTTTCTTTCTGTCTTTCTTTCTTTTTGTAAATTTGCCTTTCCAATAAAAATAAAAACAAACAAAAACCCTAACATAAAAAAAGAGAAACCAGCCTAGTGGCTTGAGGAAGGCCAATTTAGGTGACCTGATGTGCCATAAAGTATCCAAGTGGATGGAATCATTGCAGATAAATCATGCATTCCAAAGAAATCAGATATAGGTCCAATTGCACAACACAAGGACCTCCAGCATCTGTGTACTCATTGTAACATTTTCAGGAAAAGATCTTGCATGTTAAAGATGTTTCACCAAAAGGTTGATGAGTAAGGGGTTAACAGCCAGAGCTGTTTTTTTTTTCGAAGCACATTGATGTCATCGGCTAGGCTGACAGGTGCATATCATCATCCATGGGGGAATGTGCTCTGTATGATCCTGTTCCATTCGTTGTAAAACAATGGCCTCATGGCACTATATCCTCAATATGGTCTTCTGTGGTTGGGATGAGGATGAACGTGACCTTTACATGTGCCACAACACCACTGAGTTATTGACTCGAAGCTGAAAAATCCAACATGGTCCAGCAGAGGCTGGGAGAGACTTGGGATAGCGGGATACAGCCTAGATTACAGCACATGGAACCTTTGAACAGAAAGTCTTACAGCACTTGTAATAGACTCATATACAATTTCTCCTTTTTCTTTTTGGGGCCAATTGACTTTCTCATTATTCTCTTGTTGGTGACTTTACCATTCCTGAAGTCAGATTCCTTGTGAGGACTGCAGTGTCTCAAGATTAAGGTGTATATAATTAAGACAGCTTGTTTGGATGTGGTTTGTTCCCCAAAGGCTATGTGCTAGAAGTTTGCTCAACCAATGTGGTAGTATTAATACGTGGAACAATTGAGAAGTAGAGTCTAGTGGAAAGTAATCAGGTCATAGGGATGCCAACCTCATTGAATAGATCAGTGCCTTCTTCAGGAATAGGTCCGATCTTGTGGGACTAGATTACCGTGAGAATGCGTTGCTATAAACAACCCTAGCACTTCCCAGAGATTCTGTCTTTGTAAATTTTCTAGTCTCAGGGATTTTGTTACAGCAAGACAAAACTGAGCAAAACAGCAAAGGCAGACACAGAAGAGTTCTACTCCTGTGCAGAGCAGCAAGCAGCCATCGGGCATGCGGGCATGGATGTAACTGTGTCCCTCCCAGTCACCGGGGCACCAGGCCATCCTTGCACCTGTGTGGGTCATCAGGTCTGACACTGGCAGGCACATATCTATATGTGTGTGCTGTTTGTTCTTCATGGCTTGCACCAACATAGAAGCCACATGACACAGTGCCAGAGTGTTCACAACTGTCTGTGGTGGCGGCACTGAGCCAGAGGCTTCGGCTTCCCTGGTGCTGTCCTCATGCACTGAATAGATGTGCTGAGCTTGAGCTGAAGCACTGCCTCTGCACAAACCACCTGTATGTGTGCCACAGCACCTGCACAGGAAGCCATCACCCAAAGGACCAGCGGAAGTTACAGCCAAGTTCTCTCGAGGCTCAGTGATGGCAGGCATGAAGGAGTGAGCTCCCACGGAGCAATGACAAACAGGTGGCAGGAATTCCTCGGAGCATCCCAGAAGGCAGGAATATTTGCTGATGTGTAGACTCATTCCCTTGAATTCTTCACTGACGCCCGCAGCTAATGATTCTAACAGCTCTTACAGCTCAGACGTTTTCTTTTCAAGATCAATGACTTTGTCTTCTAACCCATAACCATTCAAGAGCTCCCCCGTTCCTCTTCGCACCTCTCACATTGTTGGACAAGCTCTCCAATCCCATCTCTGCTGGAAAGAACTCCACTTACTCCCCACAGCATGGGAGGCACTCTGGGAGGAGTGCAGAGTCTTCACCGCCACCAGCTGCTCCAGGGTGTGTCCTGTCCAGGGCTATGTTGACCTTGGCCTCTTGGATTTCCAGCAGTGCTGCAACTGCTCTGAATCTTTTTAAATGGTTTCGAGGTACAGCTTTTAGTTGAAAACCTGGAAATCACATACATGTCCCTGAATAAAAAGAAAAGGACAGGTGAGAGGGTAAGGTCTGGTCTTTATTATGGCATATTAAACAACTAATAAACACGATATATGGTTCATCTTACAGGATATTGATTATAGACGTCTTAAATCAATTTGTTTAGCAGGACCTGCCCAAGGATACCACCATCTACATCCTGAAGCAGTGCCTGCTCTCATCTAAGGTACAGGCGCCTGGACTTGCACTCGCCCACGGGGCGCGCCGCACCAGTCTCTAACTTTGGTTTGGGGAAGGGTGGTTCTTGGCGGGCCCCCCCCTCCACAGCTCACCCGGAAGAGGAAGAATCAAGAACCTTAGGCCAGCTGCCAGGATTTCAGAGCTCAGAATTGGGCACTCAGCGGCGCGTGCGCACATTAGACTCCCCGCGGGGCGGGACGGCGGGAAATGGGGTGAGGTGGGCGGGGCTAAGGGAGGAGGCGAGCGGCGGTTGGGCAAGAGACAGGCCACGCCCACCATTCTAACGTCTGTGCGCCTGCGCCCGCCTGCGCCCGCCTACGCCTTCTCGTACTTTCGACACGTCTGCGGACGTCCTTGTCATTTCGCGTCGGGACGTCGGCCTTGTGGTTGACCAGACAGCTGCTGGGAAGCAGTGGCGGGAAGCGCCCGTTCGCCGCGAGCTCCGAACGGAAGGTCGCGGTTGGCCTTTGTCTCGGCCCCGAGGGAGGCGGCGACGCCCGGCGGTGAGTGTTCGGGTGACTGAGCCTCCCGGGCTGCGCGCAGCTGGGGCAGGCGGAGCGTGGCGCCGCGGCGGGGGCGGGAAGGCCGCGGTCGGCGCGGCGGGGCCGAGCGGGGACGCGCGGGGCTCGCCTGCTTCCCGGGCCGGCGCCGCGGCCCAGCCCTTCCGGCCGCTGACCGGCCTTGGTGTGTGTTTGCGCACAGGCGTTCTGCGTTTCCGGGGAGGCGACATGTCCGGCTACGTGAGCGCCCTCTGGCCCGGCTCTCCGCAGGACAAGGGCTCGCCGTCCACGTCGCGCTCTGGCCGCTCGAGCCGCTCTTCGTCCGGCAGCTCGCGCGGCTCGAGCCGGAGCCGGAGCAGGTCCCGATCCCGCTCCCGGAGGCGCCATCAGCGCAAGTACCGGCGCTACTCGCGCTCCTACTCGCGCAGCCGCTCGCGGTCCCGCAGGGCCGGCCGGTCCCCCTGGCGGGGCCGCTCCCGCAGCCGGTCGCGCTCGCGGGGACGGTGGTCGCGCCGACGGCCGCAGCCCCCGGTGGCCCGCGCCCGCCGCTCCTACGGCTTCGCACGCGCCGTGTACCCGGGGCAGCGCGGCCGGCGCAGGGGCAGGTCCCGCAGCAGGTCACGCAGCCGCACCCCGTTCCGGTTGAGCGAGAAAGGTGAGTTGTGGGTCTGGGGAACGGCTGGCTGGGTGGGTGGGTGGGTAGGGGTGACTGTTGGTGGCAAAGGAGACTTTGAGCTGGCGCTGTGGCCTTGTGTATTCAGCTGCTGCCTCTAGTGCCGGCGATGAGGGTTGGGGGTCCCTGCACCCACCCCGGGGATCTAAAAGAAGCTTCTGGCTTCAACCTTCATTTTGGGGCCGTTTTGGGAGTGAACCAGCTGGTGGAAGATACCATTCTCCATCTCTCTCTACAATTCTGCTTTTGGAATTTAATAAATAGATCTTAAAGAATATTGTTCCAGTTTCTTTGGGCATTGAGTATTGAAACATTGCATTCTTTTCTTTGTGTATTAAATTTCAGCTGCTGGTGTTGATGGCTTAGGGTGGAGGAAACCTTTTCTCAGGTAGTTTGTTTTTAGTGTAGACTTTGAGATGCTAGTGACTTGTGTCTAAACTGCTAATTTTTTTTCCCCGTTTTCATGTTTGGCAGACCTAGAGAGTGCCTACATCTGCTGGCTCACTGCCCAGATGCCGGCTCTAGATGCTGCAGCCAGGAGCCTGGAACTCAGTCTAGGGCTCCTATGTGAGTGGCTGCTGCTCCCCAGGGGTGCACTGTGAGCGTGGGGGCTGGGAAGATCCAAAGGAAGCTAGGTGCTCTGTCGGGGTGATGGGGGGATCCTCACCTGGGCTAAAATTTGAACTTCTCCTGAATGTCTAATCCCTCAGTGAGCTTTTGTGAGTTGGAGAGAATAGTATCAAAACATTTTTTAGTTATCAGTAGTGAACAAAATTGAGTTGTGCAATATTTTATAACATCAGTTTTGCTTAGGATGGGATCACGGAATGGAAAAGTTAGGTACAGTACAGTTGAGAAAGTGGGTGAAATGTGGACATTGTTAGTTTCAGTCAAGAGGTTGATGGATATATGTTAAGGGTCTTTTAATTCTTAGGTTTAGAAATAAGCATTTGATGAGAAAGCAACAACATAAAGTAGTTGATCAGAACTGAAGGCTACTTCAGATTGTTTAGGAAAGTTTATTTTCCTCAGCAAAAAATAGATAAAGGAATTTTGTTTGTGTGAATATAATTGTATGAGTGGAAAGTAAAGCAAGTTTCACGTCCTTTTGTATTGCTGTCTTAAGCAGAAATAACCACTGTCTGTGTTTGTCTCATAGATCGGATGGAGCTGTTGGAAATAGCGAAGGCCAATGCAGCAAAGGCCTTAGGAACAGCTAACTTTGACTTGCCAGCCAGTCTCCGAACACTTTCAGCTACCAAAGAAACAAGCCATGGAACAGCTGTGTCACAGGATGGAGCAAAGTCCGAGGTAAGCACCTTTGGCTTGCATCAATGAGATCTTTACAAAGCTTCGGGGAAAAGCCCTGATGAGCCATTTTCATTTACGTTAGACTGTATCTCCTGGAAATCCTAGCCATATGTGATGTCCTAACACCAGCAGATGTGTCAGAAAACAGATGGGATCACGTTCAGGAAGCTTACTGTTTTCAGTTGACACAGTGATGGTGTCACATGTTGTAGCTGGAACATTGGTGATTTGTAGTACCAAAATTTTATAATTCCAGTGTTTCTCTGGTCTTCAGAGTATTTATCTGTAGCTTTTGTTTACAACATTATGTTCCCACAGATCTCTTTTCAACATACAGTATAGTTTATCTGCTTTATTTCTGTCTTATAGAAATCATGAATGTGCTCTCCAGACATTGATGAAGAAAATCTGTTGGTAATTGGTACATGGGCAAAAGCATCAAAGGTTTAAGCAAGTTTACTTAACATTCCTATTGGTTGATCCATTCCATGTGCATGCTAGAATCAACAGACATTATTTGCATATGGTACTCCAGAGTTTGGAGAACTAAGCAGAAGTCGGCTTTGTAACGGTGGGCATCTCTATTATAGATGTCCCTTTCATAATACATGCAGTATATTCCAGATATTTTAAGAGATTACAGAAAAGGCCTGCTTCATTTGAAGATAAGCTTATTGTAATTCTCCAGAGATATGCAGGTGTGCATTGCAGACTGCACTATACTTCGAAGCTAATAAACTCATGGCTTTAAAAGGTCTAGGGTAGAATAAAAGTCAGTTAATGTAGCAAAGATACTGCAACTAAATGACCTGTCATTGGAACCCAAGTGTGGGTTTGCTTGGTATGAGTAGACAAGGTTTTCACTTACTATGTAAATGGTTAGATTCTCAACTGGCAACTGAGTTTCTTGAAACTAGTTACATCCTGGTATGACTTTGTTACTAGCATTGGTAACAGGGGAATACATTATGAAGAACTGTGCCTTTAATTCAGTTTTCCCGGATGTAACAGTCAACAAAGTTTGATGTTGCTCAAGCTGTTACTATGTAATGTTAGGTCCAGTTTTATTGTGTCTTACTATAGATTTCTTAGGGCTTGGACTGATTTTTACAGTACTTGTTAATGAGGGAGGAATATGTTTTTAAAAGAAACTTGTTCTTTGGTTTATGTAGATGTCAGAAGAGCTAACAAAAGGTGGAATTTAAAACCTCAATGAAAAATCTTCCCAGCAGAGAAACATAGCTTTTAGCTCTAATGTAGGTATATGCAAGTATTGGCTTTTCAGAAATTGGATGTAGAGTTTAATTAGGAGTGTTACTGATTCCATCTTTCTGGTGATAGTCACACTTTGAGCATGATTTCCCCCTGTGGCTCCTTGGAGCGAGCACCTTTACAGTTTGACTGAATCCTAATACAAATAGGGCCATGTTTAGAATTTAATTGATGGTATCTTGTCTCTTAAATTGAATTGTTTAATATAATTTGTGAGAAACAAATAACTATATCTTTCAGAAGCTGACTGAACTTGTTTTCTTCCAGAATTCTGTAGCAAAACCAGGCCACAACATGGATAAAGCTGTTGCTGAAGAAACATCTTCAGGATCACCACCAAAGATTAATAAGAAGAAAAGTCCATATGAGCTGTGGCTACCTGTCTGAAAGAAGAAATCTACAAAGATTGCCCAAAATTGCACTTTATTGCAAGTTTGTAGCATTATCCCATCCCCTTTGAGCAATTTAGTAGTGATTATTATACACATTTTAAGTAATTAAATGTTGATATTCTAGGTTTCTCTTGCATCATATGAGCACACAGATGGACCAGAGGTTACATACAGGTGGGAATCTTTGTACATATACTTGTAAATATTGTATAATAACAGTTGTACAGAAGTGAAATTTATAAGAAATCAATAAACTTTTATATATATTTGTTAATAAATTTTTAAACTTCATTTAACGCAGAAGCATAAAGAGGCATTTCTTAATATCAGTATTTGTTATTTTATACTTATGTTGAAAGACAAAGACGGAGATCTTCTTTCTACTAGGTCACTAATGTATATGGAAAGAAAGATGGAGATCTGTCAGCTGGGACACTGCAGATGGCCACAGAAGGTGGGACTGGGCCAGGCTGAAACCAGGAGCTTCTTCCCAAGCAGAGGCTTGCATTTCATCCTGAAAGGGGAGGGGAAGCACTGGAAGTCACTGCACCTGGACCTCTAGCTGTGAATCTGCGCCTGTCAGGGGACCGTGTGGCAAGCACAGAGGGAAAGGTGGTTAGTGAGGGGACCTGAGGGGAAAATTGTCTTGGCTTGACTGTGGCTTTGTTTTTTTTTTTTTTTTTAAGATTTACTTATTTTTATTGCAAAGTCAGATATACAGAGAGACAGAGAGGAGGAGAGACAGAGAGGAAGATCTTCCATCTGATGATTCACTTCCCAAGTGACCGCAATGGCTGGAGCTAAGCTGATCTGAAACTGGGACCAGGAACCTCTTCCAGGTATCCCACACGGGTGCAGGGTCCCAAGGCTTTGGGCCGTCCTCGACTGTTTTCCCAGGCCATAAGCAGGGAGCTGGATGGGAAGTGGGGCTGCTGGGATTAGAACCATTGCCCATATAGTATCTCAGGACATGCAAGGGAAGGACTTCAGCTGCCAGACCAATGTGCCAGCCCAGGCTTGACAGTGTTTTAAACAATTCCTTGAAAGTTTGATTAAAAAACAGCCTTCTAAAGTATACATTCCATTGTGCAGATAAACTTGAGAGGTTTGAAGGACATGGGGTCATCATAAACTAGGAGTGATCCCATTTTTATTCCTCTTTAACCTGATCAGGTTGAATGAAAAAGTTTGAGCCACAAATAGGTTTTAACACCTTTAAAAAGCTGTGATAACCTGTATCTCTTGTGACCACAGAACAGAGTTAGGAAACATCTTCAGAAGGCAGCCAGTGAAACTACAGCTGAAACTTGTGAAGAACAATGTTTTCCAAATCAAAGGTAAAACCCCCCAAACCCACTACCTCCCCATAAAACATTGACTAGTAAAAAAGAAAGAGAACCTGTAGATTTTAGAAGAGCTTAAAACCCATTTTGATAGTTAAATGGTAAATGGCATAATGCATACTGCGTAAACTCCCAGTGTGATTCAGAGGGACCTCTAAGCCAAGTGTGTTCCATGAAATCCAAGTGTTTAGGTCACAAAGGTAACAGAATTGGGCCAAGAGTACAAATTTGATTGTCAATTGTGTTTTATCAACAATGAGATACTTTTATTGGGAAGGAGGATTTACGGAGAGATTTTTTGTCCATTGATTAACCCCTAGCGGTCATTACCACAGGAGCTGAGCCGATCTGAAACCACCAGAAGTTTTTAATGGGAGTGCAGGCTCCAAGGCTTTGGGCCATTCTGTAATTGCTTTCCGAGGCCATAATTGGGGAGTTCAGTGGGAAGTGGAGCAGCTGGGACATGAACAGGTGCCCATATGGCATCCTGGCACATGACAAGATGAGGATTTAGCTACTGAGCCATTGCACTGGGCTCTCTCTCAGATCTTTTACTATTTCAACATAAGTAGATGATTAAGCTGCCCCAATATTTCTGTTTCTGTAATTGTGTATAAAATTAAAAGCTCCATTTTTTAAAAAAAGATTTATTTTTATTTTTATTTTTATTGGAAAGGCGGATATATAGAGAGGAGAAACAGAGGAAGATCTTCCATCTGATGATTCACTCCCCAGGCAGCCACAACGGCTGGAGCTAAGCCAGTCCGAAGCCAGCAGCCTCTTCCAGGTCTCCCATGCGGGTACAGGGTCCCAAATCTTTGGGCCGTCCTCGACTGCTTTCCCAGGCCACAGGCAGGGAGCTGGATGGGAAATGGAGCTGCTGGGATTAGAACCGGCACTGTTATGGGTTCCCTGGGCGTGCAAGGCGAGGACCTTAACCACTGCGCCATTGTGCCAGGCCCAAAAAAGCTCAATTACAATACACTTTTTTTGGGGGGCTGGGTAATTTGTTTTTTTAAGAGATTTATTTTTTGGGGGGAACTCAGAGTTAACAGTGGCCCCAACAGCTGGACCTGTGCCTACACGAAGCCAGGAACCTAGAGTTTCTCAGTCTTGCATGTGGAGGGTCCCAAGGCTTTGGGCTGTCCTCGACTGCTTTCCCAGGCCACAAGCAGGGAGCTGGATGGGAAGTGGGACTGCAGGGACACAAACTGGCACCCCTATGGGATCCTGGTGTGTGTAAGGCAAGGACCCTAGCCACTAGACTGCCACACTGGGCTATTTCTTTGTTCTTCAGGTTGGGGTCACTCCATCCTTTTTGGTCAAAGTAAATGCAGTATCTGATGAAAAGGGTCCTGTGTTACTCCAGTGGCATTGCCAGTTGTGGTCCACCATGGTCTCCTGACCCGATGATGGCAGAACTAGACCTCTGAAGCAGTGGTTGGTCACCAACCCTTGAGCAGACAGTTGCCACTCGGGTATCATTGTCCGCAAACCAGGGAGGTAGGAAGATACCCAATAACACTGTTACCAAATATCCTACCTGGGTTTGTCTTTTCTGATGATGCTGTAAGTGGTCATGTAAGTTTTTGCTTAAATTCAGATTCAAACAAGTCCTATATATTGTAATTAATCCTTGTATCTGTTGAACTGTCATAGAATATCCCTATTTATACTTTTTTGGAGGTGGGTGGGAGAGATGGGATGAGATGGAAAAACCAACAGTCCATTAGTGTTCCAAAATGGATTCTGCCACTTGCCTTTTGACCATGTCCTTTATCATATTCTTTGGATCCCAGCAAAGTGAACATCAGATGCAGGGGCGTTATACTACGTAGGCCACACTGTTATTGAGCAGGAGTATTAGAAGCTGGAGCTCTCCCATGAGACCCAGCCTCTCCGGTTTATTCTATTGGCAGCTTACCAGCCCAGTGACTCGTCTGCAAAAGGGTGACTATCTGATTCCATCACTGTTTCTTCATGTGTAATCTGGCTTCTGGATAGTCTTGACACTGCAATAGTACTGCAAGTGAGTTAAGTCTTTTTTTTTTGTTTGTTTTGTTTTTTAAAGCTTGTTTATCTTTATTGGAAAGGTAGATTTACAGAGAGGAGATACAAATCTTCCATCTGCTGGCTCATACCGCAGTTAGCCTCTGCAATGGCTAATGCTAAGCCGATCTGGAGCCATGAGGTAGGATCCTCTGGGTTTCCCATGCAGATGCAGGTGCAGGATCCCAAGGAATTGAGCCATTCTTCGCTGCTTTCTCAGGACACAAGCAGGAAACTGGATGGAAAGTGAAACAGCCAGTGAAACAAACTAGCACCCATATGGGATGCTCGTACTTGCAAGGGAAGGATTAGCCAGTTGAGCCATCATATTGGATTCATGGTTGTCTATTTTTTCATTATAAGATTTTTTTTTTTGATGATTACGTAGTTGAGAAGGATGTATGCCCATGTGGACCACTGGTGAGGGTGGCGGGGGAAAGTGGTTGACAGTTGCTTCCAGTTTTTTTTTTTTTTTGGTTGGTTTGTTTGGAGGAAGAAAAGAACAGGGCTGTTCCCAACAGCCTAACTGCATCAGTACCTGCGAGAGTGGGATGGCCACCCAATGTCATGTTAGGGTACGTTTTGTGGAACATGTTCCAATGGTACTGCTTTAGTGATTTAAGTGATTTTCTGAGATGCTGTTGATTTTGTAGCTCCAAGGTTGAGGAAATCCCTCCAAGATCCATTGGCTGACATAGTCCACCTTAGAGTTTCTAGTCACCCAGATACCTGCTGTCAAAGCTTGGTCAGAAGAGTTGTTCAGTTTCTTCCATCTTCCATGCTCTGCCATGGTACTAGACACCTCTGCAGGTCTCAATGAAGTGGTTGTCATGTCCCTCGTGGATATTTGGGCATGCCGTCCACTGCACAGGCTTCCTCAATTGAGGAGAACCAGTTCTGACAGATGCACTCCACAGTCAGACCACACATCTTTTGGTTTTCCCAATGGTCGGAGTTTTGTGTCCAGTGGTCCAGTTGGGCTAGGCTCCCCAAAGAAACCTCGTGTGAATTGTCCCCAGACCTGACTCCTGTGTGTACCAGCCAGTGCAGGGTCCAGCTTAGTTCATCACCCACATCAGTCTACACTCACCAGTGGTTGCAATAACCTGTTTGGTTCTGTCCCCAGCCCCATCTCATACACAAATCAATGGATGCTGTGGCCCAGCCTAACCCTGCCCACCACTCACTTGGCTTTCCAGCAGCAGGAACTGCAGCCTAGTTGGAGTGACCCCAAGTAACCCCCAAAGGCCCACCCCCAGCCCTGGTTCCTGCACTTGGTGGTATGAGCACCAGACTTTCAGTACCCTCACCCCATTCAGCTGTCATACACATTAATGGGTGTTGGAGCCTAGTTTAGCCTGACCAACCAAAATCCAGCCCATACTCATGCCAGCAGGTACTACTGCCTGTCCAGCCAGGCCTGCCCCCAGCCTTAGTTCTTACGCTCACTGGTGGGAGTTCCAGCCTATCAGAGGAGTGTCCACAGTTTCTAGGCTTACTCCCAGCCCTAGATCTTGCACTTTCCAAGTGGTTCTGTGGTCTAGCCTGATAGCACTTGCCCCAGTCATAGCTAGCTAGTGCTTCAGGAACGCCTGACCACCCTGCACTTATTCTAGTGGATACAGTTGCGTAGCCCAGCCAGTTCACATGCAGGCTAACAGGTGCTATATCCCTGGCCAGCCTAGTCCACCTCAAATCCAGCTCTCACACTCATCATTGAGAGCAGTGGTC